TATGAACAATCAAGCAATAAGNNAACAATCAAGCAATAAGTCAAGGAGAGTAATCAGAACTTGAACTACCTCAAAATGATGAACGAGGTGAAATAGATTCCTTGGCAAATCAACAAGAAATCAGATATCAGTCAAGAGCAAGGGACTTAATAGGACATCCTATGCTCACAAGAGCAAAGGCAGGAGTCTTTAAACCTAAGACATTTCTGGGTAAATCAGTGACCATCAATCTTGAAATATTAGAACCAAAAAGCCTGGATGAAGCCTTAATGAGCAAAAAGAGTGGAAGAAAGCCATGGAGGAGGAGTTTAATGCCCTGATGAAAACCAACACTTGGAAGCTTGTGCCACCATCACCAGCTTACAACATTGTAGGAAGTTAGTGGGTTTTCAAAACAAAATACAATACCGATGGATCAGTTCAAAGGCTTAAAGCGAGATTCGTAGCCAAGGGATTTCATATGAGCCTGGAGTTGAGTTTTATGAGACTTTCAGCCCGGTAATCAAAGCTTCAACCTTACGAGTTATACTTTCTATGACAGTGTCAAAAGGTTGGGCAATTAGACAGATAGACATCAATAATGCATTTTTGAATGGTGAACTTGAGGAAGTTGTATATATGAACCAACCAGAGGGCTTTGTGGATCCTGCAAAACCAGACCATGTCTGCAAACTGGAAAAGGCAATTTACGGGTTGAAGCAGACACCTAGAGCCTGGTATGACAAATTGAAGTCAACACTGATGAATTGGAAGTTCAAGCAATCAGTTGCTGACACTTCCTTGTTCTACTTCAAAAATGAAAATCAAATCATATTTGCACTCATATATGTTGATGACATTGTAGTAACCGGGAATGATGCAGGTTTGTTGCAAAGGTTCATAAATGAATTGAATCAAAAGTTTGCACCCAAAGATATGGGCAACTTCACTGCATTCTGGGAATTGGAGTGCTGTGGCATAACTCAGGTCTCCATTTAACTTAAGCAAGGTATATTGCTGAGTTGCTCAAGAAGTTTGAGTTACAAAATCTGAAGCCGTGTCCAACTCCAATTCTAGCAAGCAAAACCATGTCAAAGGCTGAAGGAGAACCACTGAAAAACCCTTCAATCTACAGAAGTGTTGGAGGAGCTCTGCAAAAATCACACATACTAGGCTAGATATCACATTTGTTGTAAATAAATTAAGTCAGTTTCTGCAATTTCCAACTTCAATTCACTGGAAAGCCTTGAAAATAGTACTTAGGTATCTAAAGGGAACAATAGATCAAGGGCTGTGGATACAAAAAGGTGAAACATTAGACTTAACAGGATATTCAGATACTGATTGGGCATCCTGCCCAGATGACAGACGATCAACTGCAGGCTATTGTATTTACTTAGGAGAAAATTTGGTTGCCTGGTCTTCAAAGAAGCAAAATGTAGTTGCTAGATCAAGTACAGAATCAGAGTACAGAGCACTTGTCTCAGCAGCCTCAGAGATAGCTTGGACCCAATCACTTTTCAAAGAGCTTGAATTATCACAATCATCCACCCCAGTCCAATGGTGTGATAATATGAGTGCTAGTGCTTTGGTAGCCAACCCATTATACCATGCACGGACAAAGCACATTGAATTAGACATTCATTTCACCAGGGATAAAGTGCTTGGCAAAGAATTAGAAGTCAAATACGTGCCTTCCTATCAAATAGCAGATCTCTTAACAAAGGGCCTCACTCACTCAAGGTTCATTTTTTTGAAAGACAAGCTTGGAGTCACTTCCTTGCCGTCCAGCTTGAAGGGGGATATTAAGAATGATGGCTAGCTCCATTCAAGATAGAGCTAGGTCAGCTAGCTCCATCCAGAATGGAGTTAGCGGCTGGCTCCATCCAGCATGGAGCTAGTGCACTAACTCCATCTAGCTTGGAGCTAGAGCAGTTAGCTCCGTCCAGCATGGAGTTAGTGACTAGCTCCTTCCAGCCACTAACTCCAACTGATTTCCTTGCTGGCAATTCTTTCGTATTTTGTACAATGCTAGCACTAACTTTCTGTTGTATTTTTATTCCAACACTTTCCTTAAAATTAGGAGCTAACAAACTCTCATTGTAGTCTCTAGAATCTTCCTTTGTAATTATTTATGCTACATTGATAATGAATGAATTAAGCTGAGCCAAATTATTATTTCCTTTCTTGCATTTCAACTCTGACATATCTGTAGCATGAGAAGTTTGCGGGAAAGAATTATTCTTCGAGTTTTTCAAATTTTGTGATTCGTAAAACACAGCATTCAACAAGCCACTATTTCCAAGAGAAAGACTACACCGAGTGTTTCAATTGGAGGGGACCAGATCAAAGTACTAACGGTCTCAAGGGAAGAAAATGGAGAAGATAGTGAGTTCAAACTCTGTATTCCAGTCAGTTTTCAAAAGATGATTTATTTAAACAGTATTACCAAAATGATCAGACCAAACCAAACCAGACCAAATTTCAAGCTATAAGGCCCAATAGACCACTAAGAAAACACTTCTCAAACCATGCCACAAAAAACTTCAAAATGCCATTTCAGTAAAATACTCGTCAATAATAAACATTCATCCAGTCAGCATATATACATTTTTTTCACATGAAATATACTATATGTTTTCCATCTGGCTAATCTAT